GTTGATGCTTTGGCTTTTGTTTCCGAGTTTATCTCGCTTTTTTCCGTCCATTCATGCTTCATTTTTGTCCTAGTAATGCCAACTTTAGCAACATTTCATTATTTGTTGGATTTTTTCGCCAGTCTGTGTTTTTTAACAGTGGCTTGGTATCCAGTTTCAAGACTTCTCGCTTACTTTATGGAGTACTATTCATCACGTCATGAAGTTAATGTATTGCAGGACTGTGCCGGAGTTATCCTGTATTTGGCAGAAAAGTGCACGCAAGTGTGTTTGGACGCCGTCCAAATTCTAGGTACGTCGTTCTACTACAACTAACAATTTATTCCATTTCTTTTCATCACCGGAAAAAAGTTTCCTCGTTGGCGCCAAATGGCCTCAGGATGGACAGTCTGCAATATTGCGTCGAGGTTACGGTAGCCCTCAATCCTGCACTGAACACCTTACTTTTGCAGGGGAGTGTTTTTGGAAAACGGTGAACTATTGTTCACATCTTTCCAGAGTCCGTGCCTTCTTCAGGCGCTAGGAATGTGCGTAACAGGAGGTACTGTAGCCCTAACGCAGTATGACACAATGGCACCCCGCGTCATATTGCCCCTTCGTTTCTATTGATTTATTGAATGATAAAACCCGAAATTATAGCGCCCCGCTTTTTTATTGATTTATGGAACGAAGAAATTCACAATAATAACTTTAAGGTGGTAATGGTTATATCAATGACTATCCTACGGGACGGCTGCTACGAGATGCTAAATTGTATGAAATAGGAGCCGGTACAAGTGAAGTGAGTTATCCTATTGGCAAAATCGATAAGTTGAATCGGCGTAATCGATATATTGATTACTATCCACGTTCCAGGTCCGGCGGTTGATAATTGGTCGTGCATTGAATAAGGAATACATCCACTAACAATTCGTAGACTTCATAGCCATTTCTTCTAGATACTGTACTATGCTCAATCTGTACTTAAAACCATATTAATATTGTTTAGGTAGAAGTGAATTAGCTTGAAATTTCCTCGTTTGTATTGTTTCCAGTAATTTTGCCTCGTGAAATATGCCTCTGAAATCCGTTTGAGTGTGATCATCGAATATTTTCTTATTTTTGTATTATTATAATTTTTGTAAAATAGCCGACATTCTACTGATGAAAATTTTCTACCTTCTGTTCGGTTACGACAAACTTCGAAGCCAACACTTCCGCAGGCCTGGGTTGCATACACCTGCCCTCCCCGTTTCAAATGCCACCTTCAGGCAAGCAGACCGATTTTTTTTACGTGGACCCACCGTTTTTTCACGCCAATCCTGCTCGGTCCTTGAAGATGCGATGAATTTTGATAAAAGGAACATAACTTTCAATCATATTTCAAAATTACTGAAAGGCAGTGAACACGATGAAGCGGTCGACGGTCGACGTCATTAGCGCGCGCATGGGTAACACCCAACCACACATGCCAGGCGCTGAAGGATTTGGTGGCACCCAATCACTTCAATAGAAGTTTGGCTCGCCATGCCATCTGGATCCTGTTCACACGCTTTTTTCAGTGCCGCCCCAAAAAGGCACTTTTGAGTCCGCCCTTTTTTGGGGCCTGAAAACAACAGGGACAGCTTTGTGGTGACAAACGGTGGTAGAAGGCAGGAAACGTCTGTTGATATAAGTTTTGAAACAGAAAAAGGGAATCTTTGGAATACCTTAACGTTACCACTGGTCCATCTACTCCATTACACAGGCTCTCGTTCCAGCAAATGCTCATCCATAACTCAAAATGAAGGATCTCGCTAACAGCCCTTAAAGGAGGATTGCACGGAAAGAACGAAGGTCGAAGAAGGGAGAAATCGCCTAGTGGGGAGAGCGGTGAATCTCTTGAGGGTGCGGACAGACACGCAATCGGCATCGAAAGATTTGACCTCTGAGATCTAGCATGGCTCAAAGTTGGCGAGTTCGGCGATCTCCGCCCACCGATCGTCTGATCACTCGCCGTAGTACAATAGGTGGCGAGTGATTAGATAGCTGAGAGAGCGTAGGGTTGAAGAGGGCAAAGCGATGAGAGTCCCATCAATGCTCAAATCAACGGACAAGGAAGGGGTCCCATTTCTCCGGTTCTGGGCCGTTTTTCGTGGTTTCGCTTTCTTTCTGGTACTACTCACCATCTCTACCTCAATTTGGAATGGGTTGCTTTTCCATCGTAAATTCGTCCTTTAATGTTCCTTTTTGTCACGAATCGCTGTAGAGACCCACTAAAACGTTCGTA